GTCTATTGTGTACTAGTTCTTGTTCTTTCTACACTCACCCTAGATCTCACAGTAAGATTAAAAAAAAAAACTGAGTATGAAATTTTCATTAAAGTGAGCACAGGGGCGGCGGGAAACACCGCTTGCATATAGTGAGCTCCACAGACAATATATATAAGAACGGAGACAGTTCGGGTCAAACGAATTTTTTAATTTTTTTATCAGTGCACCTGAAAAATTCCATACTCCCAGTTATCCTATTTGGTGCATAACAACAATAGTAATATCCTACTTGAATAAAATTACAAAGAATGATTTAATGCTACATGTATTTCCATGTCATTGATGCCAACAAAACTACCATTTGTGATTTTAAAAAACATGTCCTTAAATGTGACTTTATATTTTCGTCACTTCACGACTCGAATATTCCCGATCTTGTCGGAAAAATGGAAAAAAAATCTGGGAAGTAAGGATTCTCAATCTTAATGCATGGAAAGTCTGCAACTATTTTAATATCGGGTTTGAAATGATGAATTTTATGTACAATACCACTGTATACAAAGTGCTAATGGAAAATCTACTTGATTTGGATCACTAGCTATATTTGTTTGGGTCATTCGAAGTTTCTCTCTGCACATTTAGACAAAAAATGTGCTTTTATATTCGTTTTCTTACTGATAATAAAACTACTTCAAACAATATGAGACTTCTTCTTGGTATATTTAAAGATAATCATATTTTTGTTTCATCTACCCCTCCATAAACATCGGTAGGACGCGTTTTTCACGCATCTAATGGTCATTTTTCGACTAATCATCCTCTGGAATGGACTGTTGACATTATTTCAATAAAACATTTATTGTAATGTTTAATATGAATCTTTATCAAACGTAAGCTATCAAATTCGACCACAAGGTCTTCTTAATAACCTGGCAATTACATCAAATATGCACCTACCCAACTTTTCCAGAGCTATATTATGTTTGCGTAGAAAATATCCAGAAAGCTATCTTTGTTGTCATGACAGCTATACTTTTTTCGAGTATACATAAAGCATTTAGGCCTGGTGCAATTAGTAAAATAATTTATTGACGTTACTTTGTGTTTACAACAGTAATGTACAATATTTTCTTCCCAAGACTCCTCTTACATTTCAACAATGGCCCAGTCCGTAGGAGGTCCATGTGTCATATGCTCACATTGAGCATTTTATGCTCAATCGGTGAGTGTGATACATATGTATTTATATAAATTATAGAAAAAGTAGTGTGGCCTCTTGGTAAGTTATACATAGGAGAGTACAAACACTCGGGCACCTGACTTTACTTATTTTTCTTTTAATAAAATAAATTATACCCCTATCTATAACATGTTGAACCTTTCGTTACAGTATCTTTTTTTAATTTCTAATGGAAGCAACTGTAATGACGTTTTTATTTCGTTAATTTATATGTTTACTTCCATTTTTTCATTCCGGAATAAAGGATTGCTCAAGCATAAATTTCTTCGGTAAACGGGAGGGGTTTACATTGTTGTCCATAACACTAAAAGATCCCAAAACAAAAGTCCTATTTTATGGTTAGGGATGGGGTCGGCTTAATTGGTGGACAAGCTACATTCTTCCATATATATTCTCATTTTTCCTATCAACTTATGAAAGTCATTTATCAACAAAAAAATATCAAATTAAGAATTTTCATGTTTCTCACCAATTTACATGCAATTTTGTAAAATTTTAATTCTTAGACTTTACATATACACATGGTTTTGTAAATATTTAGTGGAATATATATGCATTCAAAGTTTTGATTGATAATTTAATGAATAATTAAAACGCATTCAACTTCAAATCTTTATGCCGCTTCGTTCATTTACTAATTTCAATTCAGCCAAATAAGCGTTAAGAAGAGATTGTATGAAATATTTAAAATAATTTCAAGTAATAAAAAGAAAACAAATGGTTACCACATTTCTCAAAGAAATGCATGGATCTTTTTTCATAGAAATTATAACATATCCCTGAAATTCAGTGAACTTCCGTAACTATATTCTTTTATCGTAGACTGACTGTTAAGAGTTTGCGTTTCTTGGGAAGGAGGGAGGGGGGGGGTATTTTGATATGGTTACTTTAATATTCTTAAATTTTAGTGAATTTGAAAAAAATTATCAGGTCTGGATCACCTAACCTTTATCCGCTTTATCCCACTGGGGATATAATGCCAACTTTTAATTAAACTTTTATCTTCATAGATTCTGTTTCAGATTCTTAGTTTTAAGTTCTGATGTCTGATGAAAGTGTGAAAATAGGTGAAATATTACTTAAGTTGCATTATAATCTCTTTATAAAAGAGAAAAAAAGTGTACAAGGCGAGGACAATCACCCGCTCTATGACGGAAAAGTTTTATTTTTCTAAAATTATGTTGTCGGTAATGTCATCTTCATATTAGATTCATATATTGTTCTGAAAGGCATATTGATTGAAAATTGTTTTTAGACTTATTAAGGAGGAACAGGACCTTTAGCTGAAAAAATTCCTGTCAATGAATTTTTTTGTATTTTTTAAATTTCTAATTTAATATGTACTTAACATTTTAAAACAGTCCTGTCATGGGATTTCTTGACTTATTTAAAAGATATCGCCCCACAAATACCGCCATGTTTAGAGTTTGTATGGAGTTTAGATACTTCATGTTTACGGGCCCATAACGGAGTCCAAAATGCGAATTTTTACGCACAAACCATAAATATGATAGATAACACTATATACTCAAATATTTCAGAATATTCACAGTGTTTAAATTATCTGAAAGCAATTGTTTTCATTATATATAGTATTTGGGTGGGATAATTTCTGCATTTTTCAAGGCAACTTCAACGACAAAAACCTCATTTGGAAAAAATTCTGTCAATAAATATTTCTAAATTTACGATTGAATGTCAGTCCTTCATCGTAATTCTTTGCTGCATAAATATAACAGGGTGAAGCTTACCTCAATATCGCACAGGACATCGTTGAATTAGACGTAAGCATGATAAAAAAGCTTCACGTTTGTATTTTCCGAGTGCGGGAAATCAATTGTGACGTCACACGAAAATATAAACATTCAAAATTATCTAAATAGAGAGAATCTCTGCTACTAAACACGAAAAAATATTAATTTTAAAAAATCTGCTTCAGAAGTTTATCACGATACATTGACTGTGACCTGTTTATTATGAAATAAAACTGATCATGACGGGTGTGTGTACCTGATCTCGCTGCACTGAGAATTCAAACACTATGTCTATGACGTCACTGACGTCAGACTACAGGGTAAAGAGAAACAAATGTGTGGATTGGGCAACTTCACAATATCTAAATGATGGCAAGATCTTAAAACAATTTATTAATAATAATTTCTAAAATTAAATGTTTAAAAACAATTTTAGAATTTAGAATAAAATGACACAAGAACTGTTGATTTTAACAACGTTTTACATGTATATCATCACCGATTATGACGTGGTATGTCTTTTTAGTCATGTGACATGTGTCCTGTCTCCCCTTAAGTCGAAAATGGATACGTTTATATTAAATGATTCTAGCTATAAAAATTTATTTTTGAATATGAACGGACCAGGTATTCTAATAAATGCATTGTGTTTTTTTTAATGGCGTCTGAACCCATTCTATCTAAAAGTTAAATATTTCTGAAATGAAAAAAAAGCGAGGATAATGAGCATTGATTTATGTCGAAAAATACACAATACAAACATGTGGGCAGGGCATAAATAAGGACACCCCCCCCCCCGGAATACCAGAGATCCAGAGATTGGAACAGGTGCGCCTAGAGGAGTAAGCATCCCTTATTGATCGGTCACACACGCTGTGAGCCCTATGTATTGATCAATTGAATGGAACATTTCGTAATCAAATTTAGTATAAAAACAAAGATCTAACAATTGAGTGAGAGATGTAAGCCAAAAAAAAAAACGAACCAAGATAAATTAAATGATAGGTTGAAAAACCTTATTTGTCTCAACAAATTAGTTTCTTTTTAAGCAAACTGACACACAAACAACAAGAAGACACCGTAGCATATTGTGGTTAACCCATTCAGTCTTACGCCTATCATGAGCTTTGGAAAAAATTCGATTAGTTTGTGAAGCATTTTTTCCGTTTTACATACCTTTAAAACATAAGTTTAAAGATATATTACGTGTATTTATCAATAAGTTATTTAATGACATAAACTTGAGACAGTGTCTTTGGATTATACTCCCCCTATATACGCCTTCATTCTTCAAGAAGTATTCTACTCAAATCAAACATAGCATTTCTGTATCATTCGTGACAAAACGCAAATCAAGTATCGCACTAACACCAGCAATGATAGCACATTTCATTATATTCTATATTTATTTATTTCTGTTTAACTTCTTTCGACTGATAAATGTTTCTCTTGTGATAATAAATACCAATACTTTTTTCAAAACTGTTTAAATCGCGATAATTTTAACAAACAACAATAAATCTTAATTTCATGCAAATCACAAAAAGGATCCGAAAAAAGTATAGCCATCGCAAAAATATGTTGCAAACATAGTATAGCATTCACTCAAAACAAGAATAGCCCAATTTCTCTAAAAAGCGTAATTTATAGAAATCAGATGATGTTTCGTGGGTGAATTGAGGCGAAAACTAAGTTACAATAACTTTAACAACAGAATATAGTTTGAAAAAATTAAGAACAATTGAAATAATGCAAAATGAGCGAAAATCCCATTTTAACTTAGTAAATGAGAATGGTATCGAATTTCTAACTTGTTTCAACTTAAAAATTTTCTCAAATAAATTTACATTGATTCTATAAAGGTTTAATAAGTTTTCTAATTTCTTAAAGGTACTTTTACCCATAATTTGCTTGCAGAATTTTCTTTTTTACCCATAATGCATCAGAGTACCCAAAGCAATATAGCAAGTGATCCAAATCAAGTAGATTTTCGATTAGCACTTTGTATACAGTGAATACGCAGTTAACACATCCTCAAGAAGTTTATTGAGAAATGTAATAAGAAGAATGTAAAACAATATTTGAAAAGTGTGTAGAGTTGTACAAAAATAAAATTCACTAGCCCTAACAGTTGCATATTGTGGGACATATTATTTTAAACCTTTCTGTATAATTTTCATACAGAGTATCGTCTTACATAATTTTTTAAGACACTTAAGACCCTCTTGCAAGGTTGCACTGCGCTTCTTTTCCATTTAAATTTACTCTCTTTGAACTTTTTCACAAGGCGCCGTGTCCTCTCCAGAACAGACACACCCTCTCTGTCTAACACAGCGTTCCCTAGAACAGACACACCCTCTCTGTCTTCCACATCGTTATATTCCCTGTACCTCACCCTGACATTGACATCCGTCCCAGCTTCCAGAAGTGTCCTTAACATCTCTACTACATTGTTCTCATCAATCAGAATAAACCTACCAAGTCCTTCATCAATCACCGAGAACAAAAGAGGTTTTTCATCAAAATCAGACTCATAATCTTCGTAGTACAGCTGTATCCACTGATTGAAATCCAGACCCATGTGAAATAAATTTTTCAGTACGTCACATTTGTTTTCCTTGATTATTTTATATAAATCTCCAAATTTATCTATTTGCCTCACCCGTGTGTGTGTCATCACCACGTTATCTTTACTATCAGTTATCACGTCACTATTCCTTATGTTCACTAAAGATTCAAACAAATGTAACTTCCGTTTATTAAGCTGACCTTCACGTTCTGTTTGTACGAGTTCTTTTACAACATCAATTTTCATTTCAACTAACGCAATGCTTAATGCTGATAGACCCTCATTATTACAGATAGTTGCATCCGCACCATGATCATTGACCATTAGTGCTGGTGGTATCAGGGACTCCGTATTATTGAAAATTATAGTATATATAGGAGTTCTTCCTTTCGAATCCTGCATATTAATATCAGCCCCTACCTCTATCAGTTCATTGACTACACTGCAATATCCACCCCTGCATGCAGCTGTCAGTGGTGTATCATCTTGACCTTGAATATTGGCATCAGCTTCGGCCTCTAAGAGTTCCTTCACTACGTTCAGATGTCCACCATTACATGCCGCTGTCAGCGGTGTGTGGTATTTTTCTTGTAGGTTGACATCAGCCTCTGCCTCTATCAACTCCTTCACTACCTCAACATGTCCATCCTTACATGCTGCAGTAAGCGGTGTGTGATATTTACCTTGGGGATTGCGATCAGCTCCTACGTCTAAGAGTTCTTTGACAATATCAGTATGTCCCCTTTTACATGCCATCGTCAGTGGTGTATGGTATGTACATTGTGGATTGATATCAGCCCCTGCTTTTATCAACTCCTTTACAACACATAAGTGTCCATTTTTACATGCCTCTGTCAATGGTAAATTAAAGAACCTTTGTGGATTGACATCAGCCCCGGCCTCTAACAGTTCCTTCAATACACTCAAATGTCCATATCTACATGCTGCAGTCAGTGGTAAATTGTATTTACCGTGTGGATTGACATCAGCCTCTTCCTCTAGCAGCATTTTTACAACGCTTATATGTCCACCCTCACTTGCGGCAGTCAGTGGTGTATTATATTCAGTCTGCGGATTGATATTAGCCCCAGCTTCTATAAGCTTATTCACTACATTTAAATGTCCACCTTGACATGCCGCTTTTAGTGGTGTATTATTCTGAGTTTGTTGATTTACATCAGCCCCTGCCACTATCAGCTCCTTTACTACGCTTATATATCCACCTTGACATGCTGCAATCAGTAACGTATAATTCTGCCTTTGTAGATTGACATCAGCCCCCTTATCTATCAGCTCTTTTACAACACCCACATGTCCTCTCTCACATGCTGCACTCAGTGGTGTATGATATTTTCCCTCTAGATTGACATCAGCTCCTGCCTTAATTAGCTCCTTCACAATACTCTTATGTCCATAATAACATGCTGCAGTCAGTGCCGTATCATTCTGATCTCGAAGATTGACATTAGCCCCGACTTTTATTAGCTCCTTTACTACATGGATAAATCCACCCTTACTTGATACAGTCAGTGGTGTATTATATTTATCTTCAGGATTAATATCAGCCTCAGCCTTTATTAGCTCCATCACTACACTCGCATTTCCACTCGTACATGCTGCAGTCAGTGGCGTATGAAATTTGCCCTGAGGATTGACTTCAGCTCCTGATTTTATTAGTTCTTTTACTACATTGGTATAACCACCTCTGCATGCTACAGTTAGTGGAGTATCATATTTACCTTGCGGGTTCAGATCAGCCCCCGCATCTAACAGCTCCTTAACCACAGTCATTTGTCCAGATGTACATGCTGCAGTAAGTGGAGTTACAATCAATCTATCATCATAATCCAAATATCGCAGTTCTTTGTTTATAGTACTTTTACTGACATATTTGATCAATATTCTTACGGTCTCTAAATCACCACTGTAACATCCCAACACAAGTAAGCGATGTTGTTCAGATATTGACTGATTTATGACCAATTCCTCATTTCCCGAATGAGTACTGGTGTTTAAGATACATGGGTTGTCTTTTCTGTCATTTGCTGGAATATTTTTTTCGCTTTCTTCCGTAACAAAGCTTCGAACAGGGTAAATTGAACTATCAAACATTTGAGAGTGTGTTTCGTTTTGTCGGTCAGTTTGTTCTAGGATATGTTGTAGAATCTTATTGTGGCCGTAATAAACCACCCAACTAATAACCCTCACACTGTATGTTGATCCTTTAAGTGGTGTCCATCTTTCATTTACAAGCAAATTCTGTTTACGCAATTCATTGCTCCGTTTTTCCGATTCCTCACATTCCTTCACTACCCAATTTATTTTCCTGACAATTCTATGCACATCATTCTGCTTTGATAGAAATAAAGCTTTCCATCCCGAGTAAGACTTCCTGTTTAGCACCTCTATAAAAAGCTTACATACTTCTGACTGTTTTAAAACATCATTCATAAAAACATCATACAGTTCCAAATTCTCTATATCACTGTACAAACGCTCAGCTAAAACTAAAAACTTGTCCTCTCCTAACCTTATACAAAGATCAAATGAATCACTTCCATCGCCGCTTTTACTATTTAATACATCATGCTCTTCACCATCCTTTACATTTCCAGTGACTTGTGTTCTTCCGTTTTCCATTGTCTTTTTACATTCTTTTACTTCCACTTTCTTAGCAATGTAACTGCTGCTAATATATTGCAAAATGATATCCGGACACTGACAACCAAAATGATACGCCATTATTTCATACATGGATTCCTGAATAAAAGTGTACTCAGATCCACATAATTTTGTGTATGTCCCCTCCATTACTGATAATGCTCTAACAAATTTGAATGCATCTGTGTTACTCTCAACTTCACAGCTCTCTATTACTTTTGATTTCATTTCGTAGAACTGGTTGTTCCCTTTGCTTAGAAAACTTTTCTTTGATAGTTTTCTGTCATTTAACATTAATAAAACCAAAGTAGCATAGCATAACTTGTAATGACATTTCATCTTTTCAAATTCTTCTAAAATGCATTCAACTGGACAGGTAAAGAAGTTTTCTGCATTTTTTCTAAATTTCTCAACTTTCGAGTACAGTTTACACAGTAAAGGAAACCTATATGATGTTTCTTTCAGGAATGAAGTAGGCAATAAATTTCTATCCAAACCGTGAATCTGAAGAATGGATTTTTTGTCATCTTCATTCAACATATTTTCTGGATTGCTTAATTTTATCACGTGTTTCTCATTTATGAAAAATGATTTGTAACACTCATTAAACACTGCTTCCCTACATGACATCAATACCTTTGTATTTTCATTGAAGGGATTTGAAATTTGTTCTTCGTAATCCATTAATGACTTTAATTTTGGCTTTTGTAGTTTTAAGATACCTACTACATCATCAACGACAAATACCTGGGAATAACGAGAGTCAGTATAATGTTCTATCTTTCTGATATCCTCAATTGGTACGACCTCATACTTTTTCTCTTGTAATGTTAAGGCAATATGATGAATCGTTGCTGATTTCCCAGATCCTGGGACACCAACAAATGTCATGTACGGTTGATTTCTGACTTTATCCAACATTGCATGAAAGTTGTGGGTTTCAATGAAAACTTCGTCGTCTTTCTTCCATTGTAGGACTTTCTTTGAATGGATATCTATATAAATGTAAATTTTATCTTTTTTTATTATCCAAGCACTTGAAAAATGTAACTTTTGCTGAAACTTATAAGCTGTATATCTGCTTTATATGTGTTCTATTGTTACACTCGAAGCATTAAAGAATGCGATCAAAATCTCAGTTGTCCTTATTACCTGACTTTTATAATTTGTCTATAAACGTCAAAGACCAAACGTTATCTGAAACTTATCATGATACAATATGTAAAGGACTGCATGGTCCTCATATTTGCAAAATCCCTTCCACCATAATGAAATATGGAGGTAAAGAAAAGGATGAATACTGTTAGTTACTATATAGCAACATTTATTCGCGAGCGAGAAACAGATGCGAGTTTCGCGATCAATTTTTACTCGCGAATATAAATAGCCTCGAACCATTTTTTCTGTGTTTTTTTTTTAAAGAAAATTAGTCGTTGCAGATTGATTTCAAACTGACAAACCGCGAATAAAAGATGACGCAAAATATTATTTTTTACAGTCTCTGCATTTATTTCATTCAAGCTCAAAAGTCCATTAAAAAATATAGGCCAGGAACAGAGCAAACACGGACCTTAAGATATCAGAGGTGGGACCAGGTGCTATAGAGGAGTAAGTATCCCTTGCCAATCAGTCACATCCGCCGTGTGCTCCATGTCATGATCGGGAAAAACTAAAGGATACGTAGAAAATCAGTATTTGAATATTCATATTGATTATAAATATTTTTATATTTATAATAATTAGCACGAAAAACGACTGTCAGCATTTCCCTTAAATGAAGAATTATATTTGCAGACAAGGTCATCGTATCAAAAATGATAACTTTGACCAAACTGTGCGTATTCTGTTTTATCAACTTGATTGTCAATGGCTTGCCCCCTTTAGAAATTGTTCGTAAGTAAAGAATGCTCTTGCGTATCGAATCCACTGGGAGATTGATAGATCGTTGATTTATATAAACGTCGATTTAAAGGCCTTCTGATATACATTAGATCACTTAATTTTCGCGACACCTTATTTTAGCGAGATAGTCATTGACTCTTTATTAGCGAGACAAAATTTTCACGAATTGTGGTCATTGCTTTATATAATCTTAAGGAATTCTATTATACGCGAGAATGAAATTTTCGCGAGCATACCGTCTCGCGTAATTACGCGAAAATAAAGTTATCGCGAATAAGAAGTGATTTACAGTATAAGATTGTGGAAAAAATTCTTCTTCATATGAGTATTAATAAAAGTCATTTAACAAAGGAATGCGATTGGTACCCATGGGAATTCAAGAATTGGTTGGAGGATTTGGATGCAAAACCTACACAGATATTGGTAATCAGAAACTCATTGTAATAATATCAGCCTCAGACTACTTGTGTGTATAATCAGAATGTTTAATGTTTTCTTTAAAAAAGCTGCACTTTGGGATCCGAATATTAGATCAAAGATTATAAATTTAAAAAGAAATCTTTGAGTCTCCATCGTATTTTGCAAACAAATTGAGAGGATACTGAAAATTATTAACTCTTTATTAAGACTGTAAAATTTCACTCACCTTTCACATTTGGAGGAATGACACATTTAGTATTCTTGATTTCATCTGATAAAGAAATAAAATATTGGATTTTATAGTTGGCATAACTCAAAACTTTCTGGGAATTTAAATTGCAGAGCTAAAATCCACTCTGTCCTCCATGGCACATGATCCCACCCCTGATGTTTCGGAGGTCCGTGTTTAATTGCTCTGCCCTTATTTTGTATTGTTTTATGGACTTTGAGATTGAATACTGTTCGTTATCTCCATATCCTTCCTAGGATGCTTGAAACAACAAAAGGTCCAAGGGTCATATTGCTCATTTGAGTAACTTTAGCCATGCTGTTCTTTATTAGAATTCTCACTTGTAATACCTATTGTGACCCCACCTTACCCCCGTGGGTCATGATTTGGACATTTTAGAATCTACACTATCCCATAATTCTTCGTAATATTCAGCTTTTCAGTCTGGCCCAAATGAATCTTGAAAAGAAAAGTTTTAAAGAATTTCCTTAAATTTCAATGTAAAACTTGGAAAAATGTAGAATTATAACAATATTACAATATATATATATATATATATATATATATATATATATATATATATATATATATATATATATATATATATATATATATATATATTAAAATGAAATAAGAAGACAATAATGGAAGTGATTTCTGAGGATTTAGTAAATGTTGATTTATGTTGAAACCATTGTGTGGGTACAGGGAAGGTTCATAATAGAATTGGGTCGCTACCATTGCTAACATTAACAATATTGTACAGTAATCAGGTCCAAAACTCCTCTGAAACCATTAAACAATAAAAAAATAAATTTGGTGCAGAACAAACAAGGAGTCCATGTTGAAATTGGCCGCATTGTTCTTGAGTGAGAAAGGGGTCAGGTGTCATAAAGGAGTCAGCATCCATGTCATGATCGGTCAAAGGGAACATTTTGTTGACAATCAAGTGTGCAAATCATGGCCAAACAATACATGTATAAAAACGTTGGTCACCATTATACTAAATGATAATCTGTATTTGCTGATAATGTCAATCTATCGACCACAGTATTTGTCAATATAGACTGTTGATAATTTTTTTCATCAACCTAGGCCTGTTTGTCAATGTCTTGCCTCGTTTTAGTAAGTGTAACCACCTAGATCAAGTTCTTGCAAATTGAATCAACTGGGAGATATCAACTCTACATGCAGGTGATAAGGGTACATGTATATTAGCACATAAATAATAAGGTGACGATGGAAAAGAGGAAGTCTTCACAATCATGATAATTTATTTGTCGGTCGCATTTAAGTCTCCTTTTGGTAGAATATCCAAATATACAAATATATCAAACTGTGTGGTGTCTTTTTCAAAGTTCAAAGAGGTATATCAATGTAAGAATGAAGAATGAAAATGAATTGCGTCAATTGATAAAACAGGTCAATTTATCTTTATTGATTGCTACAGCAAGAAATTCTCTTTTCTTGTAAAATGTATTTGATATTAGATTAATTTTAAACAAAGAAATATAAGAGAAAAACTTACTAATCGTTTCTAGTATTTTATTTTGATTTTCAGATCGATTTTCTTCGCTTTCTTCTAATTTACCTACAAAGAATAGCAAAATTCTGGAAAGTGAGCAATAAATTCAAAAATTTATTTAAAGTTGATGCTTATTCAGGTGACCAATATTTCCACCATCAATTTTGCACTGAATACCTGTGTTTTAGTCATCTGAGTAGACACCCTTAAAAGTATACAGCGTAATATAAAATTTAAAAAATAAACAAAATCTCATTATTTAACTTACGTTGTAGGCCATGTAATATTTTCCTTGTTGTTGCATCTTCTTCAGCCTGTTTTCTCAGTTCTTCAATGAAATGGAGGTCACGGATAGGGTCCATTGTCTCATGTTTTAAAAAATCCACCGCCTTCTCGTACTGGTTACAGTTGTTTAGAAAAGAATCAAGGTCCATAACTGCTGATCTTACAGTAGACCAGACTATATTGAAATCAGCGTTGGAAAGGACGGGACTGGAAGAATGTACACACTGATTTCTGGCAGTACGAATCCTCTCAATGTTGGCAGAGAGTGACCGATCTGTAGGGTCTGGATCATTTCCCCAGCCTTTGTTGTGTGCTGTTATGCTACAAATGTTTCTAAGCAGCGAGTACAATAAAGGAATATCCATATCATCATAGTTTCCAGTATAACTTTTACCTCTTGGTAAAATAAGACTCGTCTGGGGTGCTGTCAGACGGGGAAGATTACTCCTTTTCTGTACAACGACACGTGGAAAAATAGCGGGTGGTATATAATGACGTAGAACATCCCTCAGTTGATCTGTACACGGACCCAGGAGAAGGCGACAGGCTCTACAGGCATTTGTCGTCTCCTCTGTAGACGAGTACGAGGAAGCTGCCATGGCAGTTACCTAATCTCTGAAAGAGTTCATACGAAAAAAAAACCTTAACATTCACCAAAAACACATACACAAAAAAAAAAAAAACAAACGAAAGAGAAAACAAAAGTAAGAGCCTTGTATTTTTTGATTGAGGTACTTAGACATTCATAAGGCATTGTAACAAATTTATGGTCCTTGAAGCTCACCTGAATCCACTTCAGGATATGACAATTTTGAACTCTGGTCTGAATGGACAAAACAAGTTTTCTTCTAAAGGAATGATCGGCAAGGGATCATAACGTCTGCAATCAGATAATGTCTTGAAATAAGTTTTTAGACTTTTCCTTTATCTTATTTTCATACATGTATACAGAAATTATAGTTTTATTACAGTTTTATCTATATGAAAGAGGATTTATAGGTCCCTAAACCTATAATTTTCTAAAACTCAGACTTTTAGGAATCGAAAAGAAAAATTGCATGGGTTTTGCAAAAAGTCGTTGTCATTTTTTTTTTTTTTGTCGCTTTAAATTCCAAATTTAAACTGAAGAACAAATCATAACAAGACGTGGTTATGTGTAAAATTATCATAACAGTGTTTTGCTTTTAAAAACGTATCTATTTTAAAGATGAACACAAAAAAGACAGATTGGTAAATGACATTAACTTGTCGGAATGTCCCCTACAATATCAGGTGTAAGACCTGTGTATTGTTTAGCAAATTAATTCAGCTTCATCCTCTGATCTATGAAGCCTAAACTTTCACACATTTCACATGCTAGATGTCTAGGAAAAATAAAAATTGTCAAAGATCACATGATCTTCACTCACTATATAAAGATATGATCGACTCAGCCAAATGCAACACTTAAAACGAGGGTGAAACTGAGACAGTCTAAATGTCTATTAGGATCATGGAGACAGGCTGGGTACTTATTGTCCCTTATAAAAGAAGTGTTTTAAAGTTGAAATGCATTTTTAAAAAATAAACAAAGTGTCTACTCTAGGACTAAAACATCGACGTAGTAAACGACAAGCTATGCTATGCATATACTCCATAAAGCGGGTTCAAATCCTACTGGGGGACGCAGAGACCGGTCTTTCGGATGAGACAGTATAAACTGAGGCCCCCCTTCGCAGTAGGCGCTGTCACCTAAAAGATATATCACTGTTCAATGGCCATCAGTTGCAAACGTAGGTCAATATTTGCAGCTATTCACCTGAAAGTGGTGGTGTCTCCATATGAGTTAAAATTCCCGAGAGAGGACTTTAAACAACAAATAAACATGTTACATTTTTCTATCGGCAAATTTAATCTTGAGAATTACTCGCTAAAAATTATTTTAACTTTTTTTCATTATCCTAAAATTTGTTGATGAAATATCTATTTTATACTTCCGTTTAGTTTGAGTATGAGATACAATCCGAGAAAAGCACTTTACGTTTTCTTGAAAAATACATTAAGAAAAATGTAAGGAAGTAGAAATAAAAGTGCGCACAGAATGTAGATTAATGCATGCACAAATCACTGCAAATAACACTGATAATTATCCAGCATATTATTACGAAAATAAGAGTTTTCCAGCTCCAATACAAGACATAACTGTATCGTTAAGCCCCAACCTCCGGTGGATCCATCGCAAAGCCCTTAATACGTTTTCAGATTTAAATCGTAGATTATGATTGGTCTTCTTTGGTGCTATCACATGTGCCTAAGTCCCTTAACCTCAAAAGATCTTAAGTATCAATTATTAAATTCATCAGAATTTCTAATGAGTGATGAAACAATCCTATAACATAGCTATTAATACACAGGCACAAATGTAGGGAAAAATTACAATAATAGTAAAAACATAAGAACAAATCGGACTCGGCATCGATATTGCAAAACAAAGATCTTAAGAGCAGACACATCACCACATGCTTCAGGAAATATATGAAGGAAAGGAAATAGACAAAGTAGAACGTACCTTAGCACTATAGTGGACCAACAACGAGGAACGGATGCTGAAATAAATGCAGGAATGGGAAATGCTTTTTAACAGCAATGTTAAGGCTGTACTTCTCTGTGGTTCTGAGACATGGGGGATGACTCTTACCACAACAAACAGAATCTAGACGTTCGTCAACTCTTGTCTGAGACACATCCTCCAGATGAGTCGACAAAATCAGCAACAAAAATGTGTGGTAAAGAAAGAAACCAAGCCCAAGTAGCAGAAGAAAAAATGAATGGAAGGTGGAGGTGGATAGGGCATGTTCTACGCAAGCCCCACAATAACATCACAAGGCAAGACCTATCCTAGAACCTCCAAATAAAACGTAGATGAGTTAGGCCAAAGAACATCTGACGTAGAGATTTGGAGGTAGACGTTAAAAGAATGGGGAAGAACTGAAGGATATAATAAAGCATTGCTCAGGATAGAGAGATCTAGAGGAATCTTATCAGCGGTCTATGCCCCAAAGGGGGTAGAAGACATAAGTAAATTAGTAAGTAAAGTAAATATGTTCTGAAGGGTAGGCATTTAGTGCCATATACATGAAGATTCTTGGAGGCTAATTAATTTCATTTCATATGCCCATAAGTCCAAAAATATATGACACAGAAAGTATAATATACATATTAAAGTGCACGTGCTACAATCATGCATTGAGGGCCTCTCCAGATTTTGTCAAGATTACGGCCTCAGTCGCACCCATACACCCCGCCCCTAGTCCCTTGCGAAGGGTAATACACTCTCAGTATTCTGTAGATCAATGCATATATCCTATTAAAAATTGACACGAGTCATTCACATTTCCTCCGAACTACCCATCTTTCTTTAAGCCCAATCTTTTTTTTTTACTGAATTTCCTCTGAGTACGAGTTTTTATTTTGTATACTAGTATGCTTAAGCATCAAAGTGGCACCAACAAGTAACAGCGAGTTTTTTTTGTTATAGTCTGTAAATAAATCCAATGATTATTCTATTCATTTTTTTTTACAAAATATAACATCATATAAAGAGGATATGTTTTACATAATTTAATTGGTTCTTCAGTACGAAACTATGCATACCCGAGGTCACCCTTGAAGCAACTCATCAGAAAAGGTTGAGTTTTAATACTATAGCATTGCGTGGTTGGATTACGGAACTTCTGTGTAGAATGTACACTATTTTATGTTAAAGAGCATAAAAAAGACCATTTTGTGGATTTATTGAAGTAAACACACATTAAATGTTATTGTAAAGCTAACAGATGAAGTGGAATGTATTCTAATTAGATATGTGCTCATAATATATCATGACAGGATAAAAGTGAAAAACAGAAAAAAATATATCTACACATGTATAGAGTGATTATATTTACAGGGTTTTTTTAGGAATCAGATAAAGATGTAGAAAGTCGTCCTCATCTAAACGCTTCCGGTGTGTAAGAATTCCGCAATAGGGAAGCAGGAAAACCGTCAAGATTCCTAGATTTGAAACTCATAGAAATCATTAATTTTCCCTTCTCCTTGAAATAATTAAGAGATGTATAAACATAATGTATTTAGTTCTCACATTTGTTCACGAAGAAGCGACCAAACTCGATGGTCGCTAGACGTATCGAAGATTACTTATCCACAAATGAAATGGCATGAACGTGGTATATATTTAACGAAAATAATTCCACACGTCAGATGGCTGTTAACTGGTGTACACAATATGAAAATTATGCAAGGCAGGCGCGAATCTAGGAATCAGTTTTTTTCCAGGGGGTTCACAAAAAAAAAAAACAACCCAGACATTTGTGGACAAGTAAATCATGTAAATAAAAGTTCAAAAACTATTTCCAGAATGTGTGTATGTGTGTTGGTGGGGGGATGTCTTTTATTTGCTTTGGTATATACTTTAAATAAATCTAAACTGATCCCGACCCCTTTAGATCAACGCATAATAGGGGCATTCCCGGTGCTTAGATAATAGTGTATAAACCAAGTGTACAGGACTCTTGTTTTATTTTAAATAAAAATAAATATCAATTGAAATCCAATACCTAATTCCGATTTAAGAATTCACTTTACCATTTTGATTTTTTTCTTTAGTGCAAAGACAGTATATAAGTCCCCCACCATGCTAAAAGGAACGTTGTTAGAAGTTGTAAACAAGATCTTTCTAAATGTTTTACAAGTAGATTTATCGTGCAGACTCCCACTTGGTTAAGTGTGTTATGGTCTTATAAAACAGATCCTGTATGTGCCTTGACGCTTTTGCTGCACATGAAACAATTTTTCTAAGACATTTAAAACATTTTTTAAGTAAAAAACGTATCATATTGTAAAAAAGCCAACTTGTAAATCGTTATTGTATAAAGAAATTGAAAGAAGAATGACAACTCACCTCTTTTCTTTCCCAACTATGGTGGCATATTTATGCCATCCACGTAATTTTTTTGTCAATATGGCATATCGTGTTAAGTCACGATAACTATTTCGTCAAGTGATAACATTCTGGTTTGTCGATATTAACCGACTTTATATCTTGCCCAGTCAAGATAAGCTATCAAATTTTGCTGCAATTCTATCTTGACATGACAAGATAACTGTTAGCCACGATACAAGATAAATGATCTTTTTTGTCGAGATAGCTCTCGAAAAAATACGATAGCTTATCTTGACTGTAGAAGATAAAAGTCGGTGTTTGACGACAAATCTGAAAGTTATCATCATTTGACGAGATAGTTATCTTGACTTGACATGATTTGCTATATTGACAAAAAATTATGCGGATGGCATAAATATGCCACCATACCCAACAATGCTCTCAAAATGACTGTGAGTAACAATTTCCTTTTAGAATATCACTCCTGTCACGTGTTAGTAATCATAGATTTTAAAAGGAAATCGGGAAACAACACAGGAAAGAAATTTTAGACAAGTTAACCCTAGCCTTGCTTGTTATTCGTTTTTAACGTTTTTTTTTAATAAAATAAATTTGACAATTGTTCATTTCTAATAGAATAAAATCTCATAAAAAATTATTAATCAGTTTTATCATTTGTCATTAAAGAAGTACTAGTGTAGCTTAAATCATCACCAACCATAACTAGAGGTCAGAAAGTGCGGGTAAAGGGAGCCCTGTGCAGCATTAGAACACTAGTTTCACATCTCCCCTGACCTTACCATGCTTACGGCCACACATTTTTTAAAAAAAATTGGAAGAAGAACCCTTGTTCAACATAATCATGCATAAAGTTTATTTGTCAAATATTCAGAAGAAATGGTGGAAACTAATTCACTTTATTTTCAATAAAGCCCCGGCCTCATACCAGAAATCTTTACCATGGTGCCTCCCCCACAGCCACAATCCATGACCTTCGGCCATGAATTTCATAATTTTGGAAGAGTCGCCCTAGGTCATTATAACTTATCTGCTAAATGAACAGGGGGTAAGCTTTTTTTTTTAAAAGAGAATTCATGCATTTTCGCTATATGATCCGAGAGCCTAGCCCTCACTCCAGATCATCTGACTCTGGGGCCACAAACTTCAAAATATTGGTCAAAGACTTAATGCCTATTACAATCCTAACAAAGTTCAACTGTTTGTTGTCCATGGGTAGAGAAGAAAAGAGAAGATTTGTTTTGTCATAGGGACGGTCAGATTTTGGAACGCAGTTCGCAAGTGAACTGCATTCCAGAACGCGGTTACCACTTCTATGACAAAATGATGATGGCACCATCTTTAGTTTCCGAGATACAGCCTTCAAGTTTTTTATGCCTACTACATTACAAAAAACTCGTCTCCTTCCAATATAACATATAACGGTTTAGATCTTGATAATCTACAGGATATTGCAAATGCCTTTAATGAGCATTTTGTTCAAATTCCAAAAACATTATTGGATAATCTTGCGTGTACTAAATTTGAATTAGACAAATTGAAAAGATACACGGAGACGAAACTTGGAGATCAAGACTTTTTTGAAATTTATTTGATTAATGAACAAAAAGTATTTGAAATGTTAAAAAGACTTGATGTAAACAAATTTGCTGGTATAGACTTTCTTGGACCTAAATTGCTTAAACTTTCAGCTAGTTTAATATCCAAACCTCTAACACACCTTATAAATTCTAGCATTATCAAGGGATCTTTTCCTTCACAGTTAAAGGTCGCAAAAGTATCTCCCCTGTTTAAAAAGGGAGATAAATCAGACCCCGGAAACTATCGCCCAATCTCAATTTTACCAACTATATCGAAAGTTTTAGAGAAGCATGTAGCAGAAAATATACGTATCTTTACTTCTCACTTTGATTTATTAATTAAAGCACAATCTGGATTTCGAGATCTTCACTCGTGTCAGACAGCTCTCACAAAACTAACTGATAATTGGCTGCATGCAATAGATCAAGGGAATTTTATTGGCATTACTTATCTGGATTTTACCAAAGCATTTGATCTTGTTAATCATGATATACTCATTAGAAAAATTAAATGCTATCACTTTGATCCAATATCAATTAAATGGTTTCAATCATACTTAAATGATCGAACTCAAAGTGTTAAAATTGGTGCGTTCACATCTGAATCACTGCCAGTCACAGCAGGTGTGCCACAGGGCTCTATTTTAGGTCCTTTGTTGTTTCTATTGTATATTAATGATTTACCATTGTGTGTTGCACATTGTAATATTGATATGTTTGCTGATGACACTACAATGCATTTTCATGGTAAAAATATTTCACGTATTGAAACAACTTTTAATCATGAACTCTGTCAAATACAAAAATGGTGTCAACAAAATCAGATGATTATAAATACTGATAAAACAAAATGTATGTTAATGGGAACACAACAAAAGAAATCAAAATTAGAAAACGTTAATTTTCATCTGCAACTTTCCGGCCAGCCCCTAGAAAACGTAGAGATGCAAAAATTATTAGGTGTTCACATTGATCATAATCTTCAATATACTTGTCATGTAGATGCAGTTTGCAAAACTCTTACATACAAATTATTTACTTTACGAAAAATTAAAAGGTTTCTTCCAATGCATACTAGAAAACTATTTTATAATGCTTTTATTCTACCATCAATTTTGTATTGTCTATCCATTTGGGGCAATTGTCCTCAAACGCATATGGATAGAATCTACAGATTACAAAAACGAGCAGCTAGGATTATTTTAAATGAAAAATTTGATACACCTTCAATGCCTTTATTTAACACTTTAGGTTGGCTAACTGTTTATGAACTTTTATATTTACAGTAAAGCATTCTAATGTTCAAAATATTTAATGGTATGTCTCCCGATTATATGCATAATCTTTTTGAATTTCAAAGTTCTGGATCATACACGTTACGCTCAAAAACAAATTCAGAACTTAGATTACCAAAATTTAAAACTAACTTATTTAAAAATTCTTTACAATATTCAGGGGTTATTATCTGGAATGAGTTACCAATTAATATCAGGAAGTCCCAATCCCTGACAATATTTAAAAGAAATGTTGAAAATTTTCTGCTGATGAAACGCAATGATTCTATATGATTTTTTGTTCTTCTCTCTCTATATATTGAAATGTTGATGTTTTATTATTTTGTAACATACTTTTGATTTTTATTGTCTCATAATTGTAATTCTATTTATTGTATATATGCATTGCATATGTGTTTTAAAGAAGGCCCCAAGGAAGACTAGTGCTCGCACTAATCGGGTTACCTTCTCTAAATAAAGTATTATTATTATTATTATTACACCATGTACATAATCATCTGGCTTTTGAAAATGACCATTAAGTATGACCCAATTTGAAAAAAATGACCTTAGCGATAAGTTTTGAATGGTTAGAATTAGGGTGTCGTTTTTTACATGTGTATTTCATGTGACAAGATCTTCTCTTAGGAACCAGAAATTGCTTCAGTAGTATAAAAAATTGATTGTAAGAAATCTATTCAGCAGTCTCGTTAAAAGTCATCATTTTGTAAGTCCTATGGTCGAAACAATGACCTTGTCAGCAAATACAATTTATCATTGAGTCTAATGCTGACTGACGTTTTTCCTACTAATTGTTGGTCCATTGTTTATACACTGAATTGACGACGGATTTTCCATTATTCCCCGATCATGACAACAACCACACGGCGTGTGTGACCGGTCGGCAGGGGGATACTCACTCCTCCATGGCACCTGATACCACCTCTGTGTTTGCTCTGCTCATGTTTTGTGTTGTTTTATGGCCTATTGATCTTGAATACTGTTCATTATCTCCATGTGTTTCATTCTTCTCTACAATATTACGCGTCTAATAAATACATGCGTAACTCTTTTAAATATAATCCGTTACATAACATTGCAAACTGTGATATTATCAAATATTTTAATATTGAAAATATATCATTGCCATATCTTGGTTTTGTATTTCACCAATATGTCACCAGCAAAATTACGTCCGATAAATATCATCAAAATGATACTGCTTAATTATAAATACAAAATCACAGTAGACTCAGCATCCATCAATTTCAAACCTGGTGTGATTGAAGATCGAGGGTAAGTGATCATTTTATTAATTATAAAAAGTAAAATATCAGTGTTTATATATGTGTTTTTCAAAATTTTATTATCATTATTAGTATTAGCAATTTAATTAGCTTATCTCTCCCGAGAGTTTGATTATTGTTAATTATAATATTAAAATAGTATAGTACTGACAAATGTTATTTCAAGAAATGTATGGCATATAAGGCGCTGTCGGTGATAAAGAAGCAAAATATATACATGTATGCCTGTAGGTCGTTATTGTAATTTTAAATAGATTTCAAATCATCATGCTCTCGACGAATGGAGTTCTGTACTGTATTTTAAAATGCTCAAATTTCTCTGTAATTGAAACTGGAAAAAAATGACTACTTTTCAAAATTCCTTATCGTTTTGAATACTACGGTATATATAACTTTTAAACTACACGTATTTGTATCCTTTATTTAACTACCTTAAGCATAGTTTGATCTCAATGTACTTTTTTTGTTTTAGAAACTTTAGAATGAGGTTCATTTTACTGGCTATGCTGATTTTTCTAACTCTGAATTCTTGCGAAGGATCTTGCACGGATGACTGCTATAGGGCTTATCAATACTGCCTAGAGCCATGTAGCAATAAAGCTACTTTTTGGAAACTACCATTTGCAAAACTAATTGTTGGAATATATATTGGTCGTGTCTGACAAGTTGTCGTTGAAGATATTGAATGGTTTTCACGCCAGAAAATATCTTTATTTGTTGAGAATATTGTGAATATTGTGAAATATCTATCAAATAAATCTTCATTTTGAAATATAGTTTGTTTTCAATTAAACATTAAGAGTAAAATGCGAACATAGATATAGTCAAATAAAAAAAAATCCATGATTATTTCCTATTACATTTTGTGAATTGGTCCTGAATTAAATATATTTGAGGTATTCTAGGTATAGCATTCATCTTCCAAACCATGATTTAGGTACTGAGTAAAATGTCATAGGAGTTCAGGGAACCTGATATTTGTAGAAAAATTGTCAATTTTTACCTTTGTCCTTTTAAAAGAGGAGTGTGATGAAGAAGACAGTGTGACAAACAGACGAATGAACAGAGAGGGTAGTAATAATATACCGAGCTATCCAGAAGGTACAGGTGTAGAGTTCTGCCCAGCAACAGAACACTTAACCA